TCCCATAGATTAAGAAGTTGAGTAAGATAAGCCTGCTAATGTATTAGTGAGAACTAAAATGATATGATGTTCCCTGTTAATATGTAATTCACATTAGATTTCTTATCTTTAACACATTTTGTGCACTCTCTGTTCAATAGATCAAATAATAAACTATCTCTACCTATATGGATGGAAGAAACAATCTCTACTTATATATATATATATATAAATATATATATTTATTTTCGGGGGGGGGGGGGGTGGTTTGGTGATATGTGACAAAGACAAGCTATTGGTATACATGATCATATCTATCATGGAACCAACTGTGTGGAGAAGCTGTATGTTAAATAAGTTTTAGATTACATTTTCTTAAGATATGTGATGATGTTGCGTAATTCATGTAAAAGCAACAAATTAAAAGAAATCTTGCACTGTATTGGAATAAACAGGTTCAAATTCACTTTTTTTTAGAAAACATTGATTCACAAAATTCTGATACAAAATTACTTCTTATAGAACCTGTCAACCCCTGAAGCCCTCCTTAAACAACAACTGAGGTCCCTTTTTTCAAACATTTACAATGGTAGAGATTACTTAATGAGAAATGATTTGGAGATTTTTGTAGCTAGAAGAGTTTAGTGGGGTTGAGGGAGGATCAACTGAAAAGTAATTATAGCTTAAGCACAATTGTCAATTATGCATGTTGGGAAACTTAAAGAGCAAAGATTGCCCAACTCAATACCATGTGGAGCTGCCGATAAGATCAATTGGACACTTTATGTTGACTTTGTTGAATTTCTTCTAATATAAGGATGAATAAGTGGGTTTGAATTGCACCCTCAATGTTGACCTACTTACTTTCAGTTAAAGGCTCTTTGTTATCTCTAACAAGTTGGGTTGCCTTGACATCTTAATTCTTTTTTGGCAGTCTGACTAGCTCTTAAGCACATAGTATTTAAATAAAGATGGTTGTGAACTAAATTATCCAATTTGTATCAGAAAAGATGTTTAGTGATGCATAACTGCCAAGGGCATCTTTTTGGATTTCAAATTGCTCATAGTACTTGCTTCACATGTGAACTGCCTACATTGTTTGATCTTATTATGAATGATGATAACTCTTACTTCATCATTATTCTCAGTTGACATCTTTAATTCTTTCTACCAAACTTCTAACCTCACCTTTACTTCTCTTTGGCAGATACCTATTCCTGCTGGTCATGTGTATGCCATAAATGATGCATTATCAGCAGAGGCTGCGGCAGATGATTACGAGACTTGTCTAAGGCACTTAATTAAGAGCAAGATTCTTGACATCTCTAAAGAGAGTGTATTTCCAAAATTTGATGTAATGCTATTGGGTATGGGTCCAGACGGACATGTAGCTTCCTTGTTTCCCGGGCATCCTCTTGTCCATGAGAAAGAGAAGTGGGTCACCTTCATCAAAGACTCTCCAAAACCTCCACCGAACAGGATTACATTTACATTCCCTGTAATAAACTCATCTGCAAATATTGCACTTGCTATAGTAGGTGCTGGGAAGGCAGATGTAGTGTATAAATCACTAGGTGATGATATAAGTTCTGATTTGCTGCCTGTGCAGATGGTTTCACCCGAAGGAGAATTAGTTTGGTTTTTAGATAAGGTTGCAGCTTTGAAGCTGTAAGGATGAAGATGTGTGGGTTGCGTATTAGTGCTTCACTCCTGTGTGTATTTTATTATTCTAATACATTCTGAAGAAGGGGGTTGTTTTTCCCAGTATTGTCTGTAAAATGTTGAGGATTCATATGCCATGATCCACTTTTTGGCTCACATGTTTTTGTAAGGATCCTTGACTATCAGGAACTCGGTTATTCTCCTATTATATTTTATCTACAAGTTAGGCATGTGTACAGATTGTTTGCATCAGTAACAGGGTGTGATATGCCAAGTGCAAAGCAAAGCTTATTTGATCATAAAGTTTCGTAGGTGCTGCCCTTCTTTGTCAGCAATAACACAAGTGATAGCTATACAAAGATTGTTACTTCTGTATATTACTATTGTTCAATTTACATACATTCAACAGTTGGATCGTGCCAGACATCCAGTTTGGATTAATTCAAGTCAGCCTTTCAGGTGGAAAATACCATTACATTAACTGTAATACTCTCGTTTGGTAGAGTGTATTAAAAAAACTAATGCATGCATTAGCCTTGTGTATGCCTTGTTTGATGCTCTTTTCCAGCCTATGTATAACTAATGCAAGCATTAGTTATACACCCTATTGTGTATTAAGGTGTGTATTGCTAATACCATGGATTTCTAGGTATTAACAATGCAATGGTTTTAATGCATGCATTAACTCAATTGCCCCTTAATACCTTTTTTGTATCTTTTCCACCATATTAGTGAAGGGTATTTTTGTAAATTATTATTTTTAATGCAATGCATTCTATTTTTAATGAATCAAACCAAACAATGCTTAAAAATAATCTATGTATAACTAATGCAAGCATTACTAATACACTCAATTTAACATTATTTTTATACACTCTACCAAACGATAAGCTTCCTAGCAGCTCTAATACTATGTAAGTAAACAACTCAATGACTATCTTGTCTTCTAATACTACAATACAATCATATTATTTATCAACCATTAAAGTTCAGTGAGCTTCTCCTCTCTTTCTGCGCTTGAATCACAACCTTGAGTTTATGTAAGTCGAATAGCTTGAAGAACCATTCTTAAGTCGCTTTCTAGCTACTAGCCTTCTTACTCAACGAAGACTTTATTTTTCTTTTTGGGACCAAGAACTCTAAATTGCAGTCAGAAAGTATCATCAAAGAGTAGCTGAAAATGGAAGCAAACAGTGTTGAAATAGAAAGCTAGTATTCGGAAAACGAAAGAGGAACAAACAAAAAGTTTGAGGAGTCTGTCAGACAGCCAGGAGACCATCTGGTCACATGGCCACGCTTCATCAACCATACTTGATTTCCTGTCTCCTTAGAAGTGGTACGAGTCTATAGAACAGATCCTGTTCAAGTAGGGTCGTGTCCTTAAACCGTAGTTGTTCACTTAATAAACAACAGACAAATATGTTGCCACACCGATGTGGGACTAGTCATACGCCTAACTAGTTATATTTCCCTCTCTGCAAATTGATAAAATGGAATAACGAAAAAAGAAATCAACTTTGGGATTTTGATTCACGTTTAAAGGAAAAGAAAAAGGTACTTGATCAAATTAAAAACTCTGCCTCCATGAGGAAAGTGCGTATTTTGTCTTTGACTCAACCTCAAAAGCTAGTTGATAGAAGTGAACACATGTCAACTACTGTGGAACAACAACAATCTTGCATGTCTAGAGTTGGATATCTGGAGCGTGACCATATAACTTGGGGGATCGAGATTCGGTAAGTTAGAAGTGAGGTTAAGCCTGGTTGATATGAAGAAAGATTTATGAACATTTGGAGCATGAACAATAATATGGAGATTCACCTTAGATAAACCAAGAACAAAGAAGAGTCTAGTTCTGATATCATGTGAATAAAGAGGGTGTTTAACTCTGAAAAACACGTTTGACTATAAAAATTTTTGAAAAATTCAGAATTTTGGAATATTCAGGTTTTTGAAAAACATCAAAAAAGAATTCACTCTAAATTACTCACATTTTTTTTTAAAAAAAACTCCAATTTGTTTGATAAATAACAGATTACTTCAACTAGTATGGGTTTAATAGGATAGTATGTCGTATAGATGTTTGGAGAAAGAATATACTAACAGGTTTTTAAGAAAATGAAATTAGTTTTAAATCACTTTACCAGTTAAAAATCGAGGAAGCCGTCCAAAAGTATTACAGTACAAGAATGATTTCTTTGGGGAATCTTTTTGAATTGGTTCAGAAGCATCAAATGCCTTTAAATTTTATAAACTTTTTGGAGAATTTGTTCGTTTTTCAGGGATAATGGACATAACAAAAGTAAGTTTATTAGATAATACGCTAGCTTTGAAAATTTGAAAAAGAATTATATTGGTATACGGTATCTGCTCCTTTATCAATCATATCCGGGGAGAGAGATAAACTAATGTGCCAACGAAGGGTATAAACATGTTGAAGATCTAATAATTTGGGGAAATGCGCTCAAGAATATAGAGTTCATTGTCTAAACAGATTTAAGATGCGTTGATTTTTGAAAGATTGCAACTTTTTTTTATTAAAAAAAACAATAGTTTTGGTTCTGCTATATATTATTTAGATAGAATGAAAATGATTCATTTTTATTTTAGCTTTCTCAAGTATACACTATTTTACAAATAATATTACTATGGAAGCATTATTAACTACTAAAATTTGAACTAGTTAATAGTGATATTGGGTCTGAATTGTAAGTGCTATCAGGTTCAAAATCTGACATTTTAATGGGGACATTTTAACATCACTGACAATAATATAAAATCATATTTTAGTAAATATACTTTAATTAAATTACGATAATTTCTAAATTTATTAATTAATATAATAGAGGTACATATTCCTCAGTGAAAAAGTCACCACGATGAAATAATGGCGTCACAATGTGTTAAATATGACTCCACTATGTTGATGTTGCATTTACATCCAAGGGAATCCCTAAGTTAGAGAAAATAACAAAAGTTATTCTTTATACTCAGGTTTAAAATATTTCTTGAGTAGGCACCAAATAATTTGATCCTTTAAGTAAATTTATCAGAAGTTATTATTTTTAATCTCCGTCAATATTTACGAAAGAAAAGAAATTTTGGAGAAATTGACATTTGGAGGTATAGTTTTTTAAGGTATAATTTCTTTTTATGATTGTATATCTTAGGATATATTAGAACTTTATTTCAGGTGGAAATCTTTTTTTTCTTATATTCTCGCCAAATCTAAACTATAAATTCGATAAATATTTAATGCTGATTAAAAATATTAAATTTTAAAACTCATTTATGTATTTTTCTGCCCTAAAACAGGAAGCAACCCGACCCGTCACTGTAAATTGCACAGATATAGTGTAAGCCCACAGCAGAAAGTAGCGAAAACTGGAGAGAGAAAGCAATTGTTGGACGCAAACCCTCAAATCTTCCGGAAAGATTAGAGGAGCGAGGAGAGTAGGGCATACACACTTTCTCTCTCCTTCCTTCTCTCTCCTCCATACAAATTTTCTTCTTCAAATCGGGTCTATATACAAAAGTGCAGATAAACCTAACCTGTAATCGATTCGTTACGGTATTCAGGTACATTTGTTCAAGATCTGATCTGTTTTTGTTACTAAGTATCCGTTTTCCGGATTTCGATTGGTTGATTCCTGCTTTAATTGATTTAGTTATGTAAATGTTTGTGTTTAAATGGAGCAGATTGATTTTTATTTCTCGTTTCTGAGTAGATTGCTTATTGATTAAGTTTTGGTAGTGTTTATAGGTTGTGTTGTTTTTTTGTCTCTATACTATGCATTTATTTACCTAACATATTCTAAAACTCTCTCAAGGTAATGTGAAGTTAGCAAAAAGGCTTGTTATGGATAACATTACCTGAGAGTGTTACTTAATAGTTGGAATCGGAAAATTGGTCACTTTTCTTGTTTGGATGTTTTTAAATAGGACCTTCTGGCTTGTTTTTCTATGTATTGCAATGGTTAATCTGTTTGAAAATATCTTATTAGTTCTCTTTAATTGAAAAGAGGATAAATGGGAATCCTGTTCGAAAGGGCGAGTTTGGGACATAAGTACTTGTTTGAAGTGATGATGATGCTATTAACTGTTACAATTGAGCTATTATGTTCTATTGTTCTGTTCAGTTTGTTGTGGATATCTTGTATAAATTGTTAAAAACATAGTTAGAGGATGAAGATCCCTGAACACAATTTGGAGGATCAATATTCTCCTAGTTTTGAATGACCTTGCTGCTCATATTTGAGTTTTGATCAGGCACAATTACTGTTGTTTTCATATATTTGGGTTGCAAAGTGCCAAAAGTTGGGATATTGAGAGAGATTTTGATCTTTAATGTTCTTTTACAAGTTAAACAACCTAGGCTATCTAGCTGATTATGTTGCTCATCTTTTATACTTCCTCCATCCCAATTTATGTGGCACATTTTGGGTTTGAAAGTCAAACAAGTTTTTTTTTTGACTAAATATTTTTCAAATGGCTTGCAAATTTTTTAAATTGTCAATTACCGTGACTTATAATACATTTTACATAGTTTCAAATTTGTAAATTTTATTCCAATAAAAAATCAAGATTTAATTTTTGCATTCACGGTTAAAATTAAAAAAATTGATTCTCAAAATCCACAGGCTGCCACAAAATTGGGACAAAGGGAGTACATAATTTAAACTTAGCTCTCTCAGATGGTAGAGGGTATGGTTATAAAATTGTTGTCGTCGGCTTGATGAAAATTTGAAATGTTTTTGTGGGGTGGGGGATTTGGTATCACCCTGCTCCTATGTTAAAGGATGTGGTTCAAATGTAAAAGAATCGTATTTCTTATCTATAAAATATCCTGATATTAAAAAGATATATAAGATTTTAAAACTATATATTAAAACGCTCAATTTGCTTACAATTTGCATTGACATATGTTCATTAAGATAGGGTGGCAACACTGTTCTCTCTCCAATTTTGTGTTAAAAAGGGACTCTTTTACTAGGCACTCAAGGGTCTGACCTAGTGGTTTATAAAGAGGGTGAAACTCTTGGAGATCATGATTCAGTTTTCAGTAGAGAGCTTATGTTATATTAGATAGAGTTTCCCGGTACTTTATTGGTGGAAGGTAGCAGGTATTTGTTGGAATAATCGAGGTGTACACAAGTTGGCCTAAACACTGTCTTTATAAATAAAACTTTTTTGGTCAGTAATTTTGTGCAATTAAACTCCCTGTGACGTTAGCCTATTGACATTCTCTCAATCCTATTTCAAAATCATGTCATTGGCAGGGGAGTTTATAGAGAGGCAATGCCTATTTAGCTCTTGCCAATTTTGTTTTAAAAAACATTTTTTTTTAATCTAGCAACTAATAGTGTGGCCTAGTGATTAATATAAGTGGAGCTCGGGGTTTAATTTCCATCTTCCTAAGCTTTGTTAGACAGAGTTATCCGGTATCCGGTGGCTGTACTTGTCGAAGGTAGCATGTATTTGGTGGAATAATTGAGGTGTACACAAGTTGTCCCAAACACCATCCTTTTCTCTTTCCGGCTTAATTTTACATGACACTATTTTCTTTTGTAGTTAATCCCAAAAAGAATGTCACCTTTCTATAATTAGTAACAATTTGACTTTAAAATACCCATTTTACCCTTAATGAGATGATTTATAGCCACTTAAATATCTATGGTTTATTTTAGACCAGACAAGTCCCAATGTCTTTTCTTTCCTTCTTAAACTATGTGCCCAGTCAAGCACCATCACATAAATCGAGTTGAAGGGAGTAAAGATAAACTTTTTCAGTCACGTTAGCCTGTAGTTGTTCTCTCAATCCTATACCAAAATCATGGCATTGACAATTGATATAGAAGACGATGCCTATTTTGTTATCTAAATTAGCTAACTACAATTCTTTTCCTTCCTTTTCTTCATATCTTTTTTCTTTTTCATTTTGTGAAGTTGGTTAATTTGAATTTATGTTATTGTTCCCATTCTTTTCACTTTAAATGTTTTACCTATGATTGAGTGTTGTATGCTATTTTAAATTTATTGATGATATAAATAGAGAGGCTCTAACTTTTAGTTCTGGTACCTTTGTGATTTTTAACGAAAAGTCGGCGTGAATAGTTGGTGAATTAACGAATGCACCTGTAAAAGGCATAAACTTTATGGTCCACTGGAATCTATTTTGAAGCACCAGTATGTGTTGGAGGTGAATTCTTCCCATTGGTTCTAGCCTTGTGGTCAAAGTTACCTTATATCTGTTACTGGTTAGAGGTGGCGGTATCCCGTGGAATTGTTCTAAGTGCGTACTGCATGCAAACTGGCCTGGACACCATGCTTATCAATAACAAAAAGAAAAGCATGTGCTGGGGGTTGGCTTTTCATGGAGCACTCTTCTTGTGTGGTTGAGATGCTTCATTACATGTGCATTTAACTGGTGTATATTTACCTGCTCTACTTCCTAAAATTGTTAATAATTTAGTTCTCATGTTATGCGGATCAGCATTGTGTGCACTAAACAGGTTTTGGTGATTTAAGACATCTTTTATCCTCTAGCTTTCTTCCATCAAGACAGCAAATTCATCTGTGTTAGCAACATATCTGAATGCGCTCAAGTTCTAAATGTAGAGTTTGAGAAACATTTGAAACCTTGCATGATATCTTTTCCTTCTTTCCTGTTATTGTTTTAATAGTTTAAGCTTTGCTTGTTTAGCAAAAATCTGGTTTACTAACCTCTTCCCCTCCCCCACCCTATCCCATTGGTTTCTTTGTTCCCTTTATTTTGCGGGTGGGGACTGTGTCTTCTTTACCAGAAATGACAAAACCAAGCAAGGTGCGACGGATAGCTGATTTCCATCACCATGATTTGCCGTCTTGCCGCTCAAGAATGTGCAAAAAGCTTCACCAAAAGGAGAAACGGCCAAAATCATCAGAGAAGAAAGAATGGGAAGGGGCAACTTGCTCAGTTTGTATGGAGCACCCTCACAATGCAGTGCTGCTGCTGTGCTCATCTTATGACAAGGGATGTCGTCCTTATATGTGTGCCACTAGCTGCCGTTTCTCAAATTGTCTTGAGCAGTACAAGAAAGCGTATACTAAAGTCACTTCAATTGAGGGCTCTGAACCAGGGTTGCTGTCAACTGATGATCCTTATTGCTCGTCAGGAGCAGGTTGTTTAGCTGGGGCAACTGTACTTATATGCCCACTCTGTCGTGGGCAGGTAAAGGGTTGGACGGTTGTGGAACCTGCACGCAAGCATCTAAATGCAAAGAAGAGAACATGCATGCATGAAAATTGCTCGTTTGTTGGAACGTACAAAAAGCTAAGGAAACATGTAAGGCGGGAGCATCCTTCAGCACGCCCCCTAGAAGTAGACCCTTCACTTGCAGAGAAATGGAAGAAGCTTGAGCATGAGAGAGAGTTGAACGATGTGTTTAGCACAATCAGGTCTGCCATGCCTGGGGCAATTGTAATGGGAGATTATGTAATAGATGGTAATTTTGGAGGGCTCCACAGGAATTTTGGATTGGATAACCATCTCGATGAGACTGTTTTAAGGTCAGACCCTCTTAGTGATCTGTGGAATGATAATGTCCACCCAGATGAACTTTTCGATGATCGGTATCATTCATTTGATCAGGATGATTTTTTTGTCCATCATTCTGGCACTGAGGCTGCATCTAATGTTTTCAACAGAATCTCTCGACTTCACAGTAGGCTCTTATTGGGAAGATCAAGGAGGCGGCAACGACATCGAGCAAGTAGCAGAATTCGGTGATTTATCAGGAAAAAAGGTTTTCAAGAGTGGTTGGGATGCTGAGACATGTTTGTTTGACTATGATTTTCTTCGTCCTAACCCAGAAAAATATGTGAGACATCCATGTTGCAGATCCTAACCCTGGTTACTGCGAGGATTGATGGCACTGCTTACAGCAATTTGGAGTTCCTGTAGTTGCCTGTAAATAGGAACCTGATTGCATAGTAAAGTAAATTCAACCCTCCTCCTTGCTCCTAGGTACTTTAATTTCATGAACTAGGCAATAGTTTCATAACTCAGGTAATATTAAAGATTTTTTCTCTCATTGGATATATTCATATCCTTGAGGAAAAGAAGGTTGCAACATTTGTGCATGGGGTTAATTTTATTAACTATGAACTAGTACTTCTTGTATTGCCTTTGGTTTGCGCGTTGGATGATTCGTGTAATAAGCTTATTTGAGAGTATCGGTCCTTGTGTTTTTTACCGGCTTGCAATGCCTACGTGATTCTTCTTCTTATGTTTGATAGGATTGTCCCTTTTTCATAAGGGTTAACGTGGAGAATACCACTCTATCAATGACGAGAAAAAGAAGAAGCAGCAATTCAATTTCAAGTGGTTTGAGTTTGAAAGTTAACTTGCGATCTATTGATAGATGGGAATCAATTGCTATTGACTGCTTTGTGCTTCTATTCCAATACGATCATGGCTTCATTCATTTGTTTAACTTTGAGATCACCATTAGTATTGAGGTCAATCACCACACTACTACTATAATATATACGACAATATACACAAAGTGAGAAGGCATGATCAATGTATACTTAAAGTGTTCATGTTTCGCTTGCAGTCAATGCAACTTAACTTGTACGAGATTCAACAACTGATAGATTTGAGGGGTGGCATTCTTTTATAATAGTTAGCATTACTGAACATGTGAGTCATCGGTTTGAGAAAAAAGACTCTCACTATAAGTTAACTTTATATTCTAAGATTTGTCTTCCTCCCGCCACCCATGACGACCTCACTGCCTACCACACCCTTGTCCATAGTGTTCTTTTATCTATATATAAATGTTTTTAGGACAAACAATGTTTTGCTTAGTTACCAAATATCAATAAATAAGAGTATATATTTCAAGAAAATGTTTTCCTTCATACGAACACACCTATAACATTATCGGAATGTAGTTGCTTTTGATGATCAATTGATACGATATACACATACAAATGAATTAGATGCAAATACCTTATTGTACCGTTTATCCTTTCTTTTTAACTATATAGATGATATATATACGTACTATAGTTGCTATTTGCTCTAGGATTCATGGGGTAAAACTATGATTTATATGCAAACAAATCTTATTGTCTCATACTGATGAATTTACTTTTCTTTTATGGTTACTGCAAAAAAAGGAGGTTATGTGTTATAGAACATGGAATTCAATTATATATACATACAAATTGAAAATGAAAGAGAGGAATGAACTGAAAAATAGGTCGATGATTAACTGATGGACTGTGATAATAGTTGAGTTATACCAAATCGAAAAGAAGTTACTGCCCTGGTATACAAAAATACATATCATCCAAAATTCACAAATAAAAGCACCGCATAACGTAAGTGATATGTGAACCCAGAATTTGAAGACTTTGGGTGCACCAATATTACCTTAGCTCAAATGTGAGCTCTAAGATAAACTTAAAATAAAAATAATGAAATAAACACTCTAGCTGGATTCAAACCTAGGTCTTGCGGGTGGATCCTCTAGCTTGTACTAGCATCTAGGGGTGTACAAAATCGAATCGAAAACCGAGTCAAACCGAAAAAAAACACGACTAGTGGTTTGGTTTGACTTGGTTTGGTATTGGAAAAAAAAAACCCGACTATATTTGGGTTGGTTTGATTTTAATTAAAAAAAAACAACCCGAGACCAAACCAACCTGACATTATATAGTAATTTTAAAATTTTATTTTATACATAAAGATATTTACTTTGATATAATTTTAAAAATATTTCTTATACTATTTCATAGTTTTTATCTTTTAATATATTATTTTAAGTTTAAAACTTAGAATTTGGAATGGTCCAATAAATATTATAGTTCATAGATGTTGATAATTATAATAAAACTTAAATCAAAATCAAATTAATACTAATGCAAAAAGAAAATCAATTCAACACTAAGACCGACAATAATATTTAATATTTGTTCTTTAGTTTTACATTAGTTTAGACAATTAAAATACATAATCTAATTTTAATTTTCATATTTAATAATGTAACTAATACTTATTAAACTTATTTTAGCATGATTTAGTACTTTTAAATTATGATCATTTTCATTATGACTTTGCAATATTTATTTTATATGATGATTTCATTATTATTTTTTATTAAATATTTTTGTATCATCAGTACTTATCTCATATTTTGTGTTATTTGTTTAAGAAACACCTTAGATAATTGTATTTTGGTTGGACTAAAAAAATATTTGGAGCACGAGTTAATTATATGTTTGTATGCAAACTTTACCGAAAAAATAAAAAAATCTGAAAAAGTTCGAGGTTTATTAGTTTGGTTTGATTTATAAATTTAAAAATTCGACACAATGGTTTGGTTTGGTATTTGAAAAACCCGAACCAACCCGAAGTTGAAAAACCTGAAAAAATCAAATTTTATTAGTTTGGTTTGGTTTAAAAATTTGACACAAATGGTTTGGTTTGATATTTGAAAAACCCGAACCAACCCGATCATGTACACCCCTACTAACATCACAATGACACTCCTATACTTTTCATATATGCATTGTTAGTTATATCCTAATTTCTGTCAGTGTCTCAAGATAGATATACATATAAATATATATATATATATACATGATCTTTTTCGAAGTTAACGGGTGTACGTGCACATCACCTAGAGAGTGGGTCCTCCTATGCTTCCGTACATATATTTCAATTCAAAAACATAACATCAGTATCTCGGCAATGAAAAGGAGCAAGGAAAAGGCATTTTTACCTTTAGACTCTTTTTATTCGGTTTATAATTATCTATGTAAGATTTTTTTTTTTCCAGAGAGGTTTCAAATTGATGTTCTTTTAAGCACGCATGCACATTAAAAATATTTTATCGCATGGTGCTATATTAAAAAAAATAAAAATACTGTTATCTGATTGATGATTTCCTAATTTTTGGATTTTCTTAGTAATATAGAAGTGTTTGGAGTAATTAACTCTTTTAAAATTGATTGTTGATGATGAAAGTAGTTGTTTAACAGTAAGCAAAAGTATATCTACTACTTCATTTAGGAGCATTTCTCAAATCTGATAATCAAACTAACCATATTTTGTGGACCATAGTTCACAAACATTTAACTATGATCTTCTGGTTTCGGATTCTCAAAAAGTAATTACTTTTGGATAACCCGACGTACATCCGTTGAAACTTTTAAAGAGTGCGAGCAACAAAAGTCAAAAACTATGTGTATAGCTGAAAATGAATTTGAAATATCTTGCACAGGAAAATCAAATTTACTTCAATTAGAAACTTTCAAAAATTCAATTAAACGGAAGAATACTAGATCATCACGATTGGTGATGTAAAATAGGCGAATTGGATAAAATTTGAACATCTCAAAGTGAGCAAATTATTAATCCGTTATGAATGAATCATGTTTTCATGAACTAATTTTGTCATTTCTAAAATTTACGATTGCTTACAAAATTGCCAGACACCTAAAATGTCCTTGAAGAAGCCCTTCAATTTATTCTGTATAACACAACAAAAAGGACATAAATTAGTCGAAGTTTAAATTCTTTGCACCGACCAACAATATGATTTTTTCCCCTTCCAAAATACACATAATTTTTATTACTATAGAAAATAATAATAGCAAGACTTACACAAAAATTAGTTGTTCTCTTTTTTGCTCCTTTGCAGCCTTGTATTCCAATATTCTCATACCTCCATTGCTTATCATTTTTATGAAACAAACGGGAAAATGACAATCTAATCCTTTTTGTCCATCTCCATTTCTGTACAAAATTTTAATAACTCATATTAACAAGAGTAATACACAATATATACCAACCAAAATAAATAAAGCATTTCACTTGATCCTAGTGCTTTTGATTAAGCGATAAGAGCGCAACACATGATTATGAATATGTATTAACAATATAAAAGGAATAGTTCAAATTCTAAAGTAATATTGACCTTTCACTGGAAAATTACATGTGCAGAGTTTTATTTTTATTTTATTTTTTATAATTAAGGAAATCCGTAGCCACTATCCTTTGAGTGCGCACAAGGTAAAACTTCACTCCGCAACAAATTGCAAATCACACAGGAGAGGTAACCCGCACTAGGCAAGCTCGGTGCCACGAGCTCGACCAAGAAGACTTTTTTTGTCTTTTCTTTCTTTCTTATGTATATATACTATATGAGCCGAAGGTTTATCGAAAATAACATTTTTGTCTCATAAAGATAGAGATAAAGTGTGTAGATATCTTATCCTTCTCTGACCTACTTCTGAGATTATACTGAATATGTTGTTATTGTTATATGTATATATACTATATATTGGATTCCGTGATTTATTTATGTGTTTAATTCTTTATAGTTTGAACTCTTGAGCAATTTTTTTTCTCGATCCACCTCTATATCCAACCATGATCAAAAGTTTGAAATATTTAAGTAGAGAACGTAGATGTACATATCCATTATGCATTGGACGTAGAATTTCTTTGTTATAAAATAAAAAAGAACATTTCACTATATATGATTACCTTGTGTTTTTGTTTCGATGATGACTTGTGAGATAGTTGTTGATGATGCCTTAACTCATGAGCAATGGCTAAAAGTTGTGCTCGACGATTACAACCAAATTTCCTTCTTGTCCCTAATATAGTTGGATTTGAATGAATTCTTCTCTTGAAGGGATTAGTTCTATCTATGGTTGATGAACTTTCAACTAAGTAACTAATTGTTACTCCTTTTTCATTTTTCATTTCCATGTAAAAAATAACAGCATACTTCTTCTTTCAATTGGCCTTTTGGAATTCATTTTATCAACTAATTAATTGTCTAGTTTGTTACATACCATATATTATAGTTGTTCTTTTGTTTAAAGAAACTATTTTTGTGAGGTTTCAGTTATTTTGTTGGGGTTGCTTTGACCGATGAAAAATGAGATTTAGTTTGGAAACCAATTCTTACTCCCTATTTTCTCTCTTAAATTATCTGTCATGTTCAAGATAAAAAAAAACATTTTTTTTATAGTAATTGTTATTAAAGTCTATAAATATTTCAATTATAAGGTAATAACACATAAATAAAGAAAATGTTAAATGTATTTTTTTTTTATCTCTTAGGACATAAGTAAGGATAAAATGATCATAAACCTATATCTACATTTTTCTTTTTGGGTTAAACAAATGTCAAATGTCAAATATATATAATTGCAAAAATCAACGATAGA